TTGGACTTGATCGGATCAGAACTGTAGTCTCCAACTTTTGTGAGTTGAGTCGGATGGGGGTATATACCCTAGCGGAGCTTATTGACTGACGCCGATGGGAAGAAACGGCTGACTCCACAAGTGGTTTGTTATTGTTGATTTGGATCTTCTGGTTATTGAATTGACCGTTTCCTACAACCGACCGAGAAACGATCCAGAACTTCCCGTACCTACGTCTTCCTTCGTCTTGATTGACTGACTGGCCTTGACTAACTATGGTACCTATCTGGGCACCAACGAGGTCAAGAGCAGAAAGTGATTGGTTTTGCTTGTTGTTGGTGGTGGGGGCAACTCAAGCACCTATCTACTCCAAAGGGTGACAATGAAGTTTATTTGGTATTACGGCGTCGCCAACTACTCGGAGCGACGATAGCTCAGCATGTGCCTTGGGGCTACTTACATTCGAATGAATTTCAAATTCCTGCCTCCATCGACCGCGGCGTTGAGACCCATGGGGTTGGATGGTGCCAGTGACTGATCTCGACTCAGTCGATCCCTCGCCAGAACAAAACGCATGGGCCTAAGATGGTAATTAAAGGTCTTCAGCGATCCCGGTAGCGCAAAAATTCAGGCTGGCTCTCGTTATCCCTCACCCTAACCAACCAATGAGCTAGCAACAGCCATCTGCGAGGCGAGGCGGCAAAGACTCCGTCAAGCAACACGTTCCCATAACGGCGATGTCATTCGGGCATATCGCATGGAACCAACTCCAGCGTTTTTGTGCGGTTGTGGTAACTGGTAGAGCTAGCTAGAGTATTGATGTTTGTTCTTCAGTCTCCCCGAAGTTATGCTGGCTAGTCCGCCCGACAATACAGGAGCAAATATATTTCAAAAAGTTTCTAGCTTCATCTTCTCCACTCGCAATCTCCTGTTGCGGCAACATACAAGGCAGAAGGACAGCTATCGGCATTTGACCTAGCCAGCTACCAGGTAGGACATTGTGTTTTCTATGTCATTCAAAGCAGTTTTAGGGAATCATCATCATCCTCTTCTGGGAATCCATTCTCTCAAGCCCACTGAGCACTTCCACATGGCACTTTTCTTGGAAGCAGCCTCTAGCTAGAGGTCCGTTCATCCCTTGGGCACCCATCCACGCCTAATAAGCTTTCAGACCCAAGCTGTTGTGGGCTTATATGGAGCCGACCAAAATAGAAATAATATTTTCTCATTCCATTGATAAGCCAGAGCTAGCTACATAGCTAGTAGAAAAGTACTCGACGGTAGTTTACATATCAGAACATAAAAGGATTGGTACAGAAAGTACAGCGGTTCCGCTGTACCGCCATCCGCCCAACCGTACACTACCGCTGTAGAGCCCCTGTAGAGGAGATTAGCCAATCAGAATCGTTCGATCTTCGATGACGTCAGTCGGCTGTGACTTCAGTCGTGCATGCACGTCAGTCGTGCACACGATTCGCATCTCTGTGTCAGCTCGATCAGTCTCTCGTGGTGTTGTTTTCGTGTTGTTTTTGCAAGACCGACGGAGCATGCATCCAGAGGACGGTCCAGAGGACTTCGAATTTGAGCGAGATAGTGAAGCAAGACCATACAACCGAGGTCATCCCGTCCGTATTCAGTAGCCGCAGAGGTACTTCGCAGAGGTGTACTTACCACATTCAGTAGCCGCAGAGGTACTTCGCAGAGGTACTCACCGCAGATATAGCCGCTTTCATTCCTCCGAAGACGATGAGTGCGAGTACGAAAGAGGCGCTGGCTGGTATCGACCACTACATCCGGAACCTGTACTCCAGTGGACGGTTCCCCAAGGTGGACGACAACGGCATGGTGTTCTTGGCGGCTGTTGGCAAGATAGGACATGCCTCTGTGAAAGCTAGAACTCCTCTAGTGGCGGGGAAATTGGATCAATATCTGTAGCGCCATTTCCCACAGGAAGCAGTCCATGGAGTCACATCTCCTGTTGTGAGAGCCCTTGCAAGGCTGCTGAATCATTCGATCGAATGCACTTCAACATGATGCGGCAGGGCAACGCTGGTCTCAGGGGTAGGCTGAGGCCCCAGCATGCCAAAGCTTTGCTCAGAGACAAGGGTCAGCTTGTTCAGATGGCCAGGATCAATGAACATGCCGTTGGCAAGAGAAAGGCTGCTCCAAAGCAAGGTGGTCTGACCAAAGCCAAGCTGTTGGACCCACGCACAAGCTTCGCAGACATGAAGGGTTGGGCCAGGGTCCTGGGATGGTCCATCCCAAAGACAAAGTCGAAGATGCAGGAGGCTCTGCTGCAGTGCTTTGAGGGCAAGCCAGAAGACCATGTATTCCACTCCCACTAGCTAGCTAGCTTGGTGGTTGGGCCCCAAGGGGCCCAATCTTTATGGTTCAGAGCCCCCTGCGGGGGCTCAACCTTTATAGTACTAGCTTAAAAAATTTTCACTCGAGTGTAAACAGGGATAGGGAACATGAAAGCCAAGGATGATTCGATTAAAACCAGGACTCCAAGTCCCGAAAGGCGTCATCCCATCAAATTTCAAAGAAAGCAACCACCGCCACCGACCATCAAAAGATCACAGAAAAGGGCATTAGTTCCATTGTTCCATTATCCAAAGGTTAAATCAAAATAGGAATTCCTGGAGAGAGTGTATTACATAGAAGGACAACGAAACCAACAACATGATGCTTCACGAGACTGTCAAGCTCTTCTGGCCGATTTTTGCCTTGGTGGCAGTGGCTTCACCTGCCATGGCCTTTGCTCCGGTCAGTACGGCTACCCAAGGATACCCCACGAAAATCACTGTGTCAGAAAAACAACCATCCAAAACCTGTCTTTACGCCAGCTTGGCATCTCGTCACTATACTCGTTCCTCTGGTCGCAATGAACGATCCAAACGACAAGAGCGCGTGGGTCATCTGGTCCAATTCGAAGTGGGAAGGATTTTGCATACCGGAATTATCCGAGGTGATGCCGAATATTTGGAAGATGAATTGCGACAACGCATCAGTGTCGTGAGTGTCGATGTTTCACCGGATTTGAAACAAGCCAGGATATCTGTGTCGATTCGAGGGGCCACATCCAACAACAAAGAAACTATGGAATGGGAAGGAGAGGAATTTTTGTTGGAAGATGAGGAGGAATTGGAGGATGAGGAAGAAGAGGAATTTTTGGAAGACGACGATGATGATGAGGAGGAGGATGCATTTGACAACAATGCCATTGTCGACAAACGAAGAGCCTATGCCTGGTTGGTACGCAACACCAAACCCATTCGTCACACCTTGGCCCAACGAATGAGCCACATGAAAGCCTGTCCCAGTTTGACATTTGTGCAGGTAGATGTGGCAGCGGCCACAGATGTCATGTACCTCATTGATAAAGTCGCCCAGGGATACAAGAGAGAACGCATTGGCGATTACAATGAAAATATTGTGCCTACAGGTATTGTGAGGGGTATCGATTTTGATGAAGACTATGACGAGGACGATTGGGAAGAAGAAGAAGATAGCAAGTTCTTTTCCAATTAATACTGTAATTTATTTTTGAATAGATTAATGTAATCTATCCAGGAAGAAAATCACGAGCAACAGTGACATGATCGGGACGACCTCACGATGATGATCAAGGAAAGGCGCCTTGCAACAACCAACGGCATCACTTCAGTCTCTCACCAACCTAACCTCAACGATTCCGGTTAAAAAAAAATTCCTGTGGGGATCTCTTGGGTCCTGGGATGGGAGGCTACTAGGAAGCTCTCGTTTCTCTGTTGCTGCTTGCATGGTTAAAGACGGAGATCGAGTTGTTCTTCGTCTTGCAGTGTATTGAAATACTTGTGAGAATCGAATCTACTAGTATTGGGTGGAACCAACAGCACCTATCAGTTGAGATTATAACTGTGTGCGAACTTAATACAGTTGAAATGGCAGCATCAGAAAGATAGATTTTGTGATTACAGCAACTATTTTTTATTGTTGATAAAGATTACTTGGCATTGCAAAAAGTTCCTGCCCATTCCACAAGTGAACTAGAATGTTGTGCTGCTGTGTCGCTATTTAGGTTGCCATGGCATTCTTCTTTTCCTCCGCGTACTTGTAATGCAAATCATTGACATCCACGGCATGAATGAACTTCCATCCATCCTTTGTCATGTGGTACAAGTTGTTGATACCTCCAGAAGCGGCATCACGATGAGTGGCATGGTAAATGGCTCGAGTGCCCAACTCAATGGCTTCATCGACCGTCAGGTCTGGTTTGTATCCAGTATCCAACACACCGTAGGCTAGTAGGAAAAGAGAGACAGAAACGAGATGGAATTTGAGCGATTTGGCAATGTAATATAAGCAAGACCACTGCCACACACCAATGGCAAGACT